AGACAGAGTAAACTTAGGCTCTAGCTTACCACCACCTCTTCCACGAGCTCTTCCAGCAAATCCTCCTCTAGATCCCCACTGCTGCTGTTGCTGATACTGTTCCTTCGACATGGCTACTTTTATTTCACACTAAAAGAGAAAACTTATTTTATTATACTGACAAGAAAATAAAGTTGCTGAACAAGTTTATAATACTCAGAATAGTGAATACTGTTTAAATACAGTTCACTTATTTGATAAGTTTCCTCAAAATTAGTTTATCAATTGAATCGATCATTTAGTACTTAGAGGAATCATCACTTCTGATAACCAAGAAGTATTTGCTAGAGATGTTACTTCATTCTACCTAAAAAGTATTTTTTGGTAAAAGCCTAGCCAAAAATTCACTGAAAAACAACAAATGTGCTTCTTTCTATGCTGATAGCACTCCTGCAAACACAGTGAACATTACTAAAACTTGCCTGACTTTCTGTAACAAGTGTGGCAAGCACGAACCCCACAAAGTGATAGAGTACAAGGGCAAGGGTTCTCTATATGCCCAGGTATTATGACAGGAAACAGAGTGGCTACGGTGGGCAGACTAAGGTGATTTTCCAAAAAAAGACTAAAACTACAAAGAAAATGGTACTGAGGCTTGAGTGTGTTCAGCCCAACTGCAGATCTAAAAGAATGCTGGCTATGAAGAGATGCAAGCATTCTGAACTGGGAGGAGGTAAGAAGAGAAAGGGCTAAGTGATCCAGTTCTAAGCTTTATCTTTTCATTATGAAGATAATAAAAATCTTGAAATTATGTCCCCCAAAAATAACTCATGCATCCTTCCTGTTACTGCTATTACAGAAAGATGATTAAAGTCTCTACAATAGCTAATGTTCTCTACAAGTAAATGGATGCTTAACTTACTTTACTAAGACCAACATTGTGGTATTTCTTCTCCATTATCTTCTTCACTGGTTCTTCTTCCTTAAACGTAATAAAACAGAATCCACGCCTCTTATTGGTCTTGTTGTCCATGGGGAGCTCTATGGATTCCACCTAATATTGAAAAACAAGTTTCAATATACTAGTTTGCATTTTATTATGTTGAGAACACAAGTTTGGAAGGAAAAAAATCACACAAAGAAAACATTTGGCTCTCAAGCTCTGTCTATTCTGATACGTCTCTCCCTATCTATTCTAATCTTTTTAAGGGATTCTTAAATTTGAATATCCACTACACCTAAACTGTCTTCACACCTACTGACAAAACAAACTTCAACAGGTACTGACATTTGCTACCTAACTGAAGGGTCACAAATTCAAACACACTCAAAGGAGGAGGAGAAAGAAAGTCAATTTTAAGAAAAACGAATAAAGATGTCTGCATTTGGGAGAAAATGGGGTGTGGCATGGTGAGGACCACTGCAAACTGGAGGTGTGCCCAACCCAAGGTGGAAGCTGCTACTCAGTTTTAGATGGCTGCTGCCTATGCAGGAAGGTAGTACAGGTTCTACTGTTGATAGCTCTTGCAAATTTTTTTTAAAGCTAGATATCCAGATTTTTGTGGACAATATGACAATTCCTAAATACTAACAACGAAACATGCACTCTGTTTGAAGCAAGCAAAAAATGTCTGTAAGGCTGTATCTGGGGCCCAAGGCCACAAATTTTGCAGCTTAGCTTTAAGTCATTAATTCACAAAAGGAAACTACCTCACTATTTCACTAATGAATCCATAGTCAGTCTTATTAAATTTACACTATTATATGTGTTTAAATTGGTAAGGCACTACCATCCTTTTTTTTTGGGGGGGGTGGGGGGGCGCGGAGCTGGCCAGTACAGGGATCTTATCCCCTAACCTTGATGTTACAAGGCTGTGCTCTAACCAACTGAGTAACTAGCCACCCCCTACTCTTAATTCATTCCTTTTCTATCCTCAACAAAAATGTTTCCTTCAATATCTCAGATAATTCTATATTTTTTTCCTCTTATTATCTATATTTTTATTTCTTCTACTAATCTAGTAAATTTCTTGATAAGACTGCTTACCTATTTTACCTTTATGTATCTGTGCCTAGCAATACTCTTCATACAGTAGGTGCTCAATAAGTGAGAAAAATGCAATCATATAACCTTCTTTAAAGATTACAATATCTTTATTCCAAAACATATCACATAATCTGCCCTAACACAGCTTCGAAAAACCCAGTGACTTTGAGACCACTTAATTTAACAATCACATTCACACTAATTTTGACATAGACTGGGTCAAAACATTTATAACATACCTCACCAAAACCACCAAAGTACTCCCTTATTTTCTCTTCAGGTGTATCTGGAGAAAGGCCACCAACAAAAATTTTTTTAACCGGCTCTTTTGTTTTCATGGCTTTGGCCCTTTTAGGATCAATCACCTTCCCATTCAATTTATGTTCTTTCTGATCCATGACCTAAGGAAATTGAAGTTTTTAATTTTAAATATGTATACCTTAACTAATGTTCAGAGAACATTAACTTACTTGAAAATAATTATAATTAAAAATAGTAAACATAAGGCATGTATTGATTGGCTCAAGATTAAACTGTCAAGCCGTGTGGTGATGTGACACCAGCTAACATATGCTAGTGTTTAAATCTAAAGGTCAGTAAGAATTGAGGAGGTACAAACAAATTTAACCAATTACTAGACAGCTATTCCCCTTAACTGCCAGCAATATAAATAAACATGGTTGCTACCTCCTCTCAGCCCAGGACTGAAATAATGATACAGTCAAAAGTTGTTTGTCTAACAAAATCCACAGCACATTCTTTTAATTAGGCATATTTAAGTCTTACATTTTTTAAAGTTAATTTTAATTTAGTAGAGCCTGGCACAAAGAAAAGTACTTAGTAAACAATTCCTCAATCTGCCCTTTCATAAAAACGTATTATTGGCAAGAGCTCTCTCTCTCCCCTCCTGTACTTGCAAAAGGGAAACCACAAATAGGCAAATTCATTGTATTAATTTATCCATTTTTTAATATTTTATATTATTAACTAATCAGAACACATAACACACTACCTTATCTACACTCTCCGACTCTTTAAATAGCACAAAGCCAAAACCCCTGGATCGCCCTGTGATAGGATCTAACTTCAGAGTGCAGTCTACAACTTCACCAAATTTGGAAAAGTAGTCCTTCAGATCTTTCTTTGTAGTGTCCCAGCTAAGGCCTCCTATAAACATTTTCCTGTAAAGACAAAAAGCAATATTAAAATGATAAAAAAAATATTTAATCTGTTTTGCCTTAAATATCATCCGCATTAATAACCTTTTCTAAACTGCACCAATTTACTGGGCAGTATATTAAAATGTCATTCTTCCTAAATAACAACATATCAAGAACATCCTATTCCAGAAAGTTTTGTTTATCACTGCTGCTACTGAATGAAATAGTGAGCAAGCAGAAAATTAAGTCTTTCAACTTGTTAAAAAGATAAATGTAAATCCAAAGTAAAAATACTGTGTATTACGTTTTTCTTAAATTACAAGTTAAATATTGTTAGCAACAAGACATAATCTTAGCTTCAAATTTCTTTTCCAAATCTTCATTAAACTTGTCAAAAGGCTATGCCATCTCCATTGATCACAGCAACCAGCATCGTGTCTATGCTGAAGCTCCTTTTCTACTTTTAACAGTTCTCTCATTAACAAAACTCTTAGCACATAAAATGGAAAATTCTGAGTCTCACAATTAAGTTATGAATCAACTTTTTTGATGTGCTAAGAGTCCTTAATAAAGACAAAAGTAATCATGTAAACAATTTAGTGAAAATTATCCACTGAAGCACAATCTACTAATTAACTTAGATAATTTATTTACAGTAGAACCTCAGTTAACCAGCAATAAAATATTTAAGCCTTCAAAATGCTAAAAAGTGACAGGTGGTAAGGGAAAACCACCAAGATACATTAAGACCAAAGATATACACTCAAAAAAAATTTTTCTTTTAGTGTACTCATTATTATTACACCAGAAAGCTCAGATCTGGCAGCTCTGTGATCCTTTTTACATCTGCTCCCTTTGCCGAAGAAAAAAAAGAAAAAGTTAACCTATACCTCTTACCCTTTAAAAAGACAGGACTGGAGATTTTTATTTTAAGGGTAAACTGTCAGAATTTGTTATGTGAGGGCTAGAAATTTCACCACAGGCATAAAATCATGCTTGCTCAACATTTCTCATCTTATAACTGGGGGGTGGGTCATGGGTGGGACAGGGTATTAACTTCCAGCTCTGGAAAGAAATTAAAGCAGGCCTCTCATTAGGAAACATCTCCATCTTGTGAGCTTTAAGGGTATTGCCACTAAGGCCTATTTCCACAACAAGAAGGCAATTAATTGTCCCTTGAAATAGGGTCTTAACTTCTCCCCAGGGAAGCCTGATTAACTGAGGTGTTACTGATCTATTTTACATGACTTGTTTTACTTCTAATGACAAAGCTAACTTTTAGGGCAAAAGAAGCCTTACTTTAGGCATATACGTTTTCAACTTGCACACATATTCTAGAGCTGGGCCATTTATATGCTTTTCAGGACTTCCTCAAATAAAATTTCCAAATTTAGTAATATTTACAATAATCCTTTTGGTATTTTATAATCAAATAAAGATAACAAAAACACTCCTAATGTTGTGTAGGTATCATAAACATTTACTATCTCTAATTACATGAAAAAAGAGATCTTTTTCTCAATAATATAAATTTTCTTTCATTTGAATAATCCACCTTCTAATATGAAATCCTTATTTACATAATTTACTATAAAAACCTTATTTGTAACCTAAAGGGCCAGAGTACTTCCTTCATAGATGAAAGCTCCTTACCAACATTCACCCTTTTCAAGGTGAGGAGGACACTACTTTTCAAAGATGAGCATGAGAACTGACTATAAAGCAATAACCTCTTGCTCAGACATCCATGGCAAGTTCTAGAACAGAAACAACTTCCATTAAGTTGAGGTTTAACTATTAAATTACCATTCCTGTGATTATAGAAATTTCCCATCAAGAATTGAACAAAGTTTGAAATTATTTCAGCTTGAACAGAATATATTTGTAACAAAAGCCTTATTTTAAAAAGCTAAAAGTTGAAAGGCAAGAAACTTCTCTGTCTGGTCTATTCATCAGATACTGAGAACTAGTTTTGATTTTATTTAACCAAAGCAATGTTTACATTAGGAAAGTGTCAATTTAAAATTAAGAAACAGAAAATTACAAAGAAATAAATTACAGCATGTAAGAATGAGGCAGGTTTTACTATTACTCACAAGCCCCAAATGTTTTTCACAGACAGGAAGTTGATTTTCTTAAATATTAGATAAACATACTAATTCATCAACTGGCTCAACAGAGGGCTCCTTTAACTCCCCATCTTTAATATAGTCTGTAGTGTAGAAGTTGTCATACGTGCCCATCCTAGATCTAAAAGGGTTCAGTGAAGATGCTATCCTTTGTAAACAATCAAATCCCATTTACACAAAATATTAAATATTCTGGTCAACTATAATTTATATATGCTGTACAATTACTAGTCTCAAAAAAATTACCAAAATACATAATAAAACTTCAGCTATCTAGCCCCTTCAGAGAATAAGCCAAGTATCCAACCTTCCTGAAGCACTGCCTGCCTTCCCTAATCCATCTCCAATTGTTTTTTAAGCTTCAAGTACTTGGAATGAAAATTTTTTTCTACAATGTATTGCAAACTCTTATACCTTTTTTTTTTTTTTTTTTAAAGATGACCAGTAAGGGGATCTCAACCCTTGGCTTGGTGTTGTCAGCACCACGCTCAGCCAGTGAGCAAACCGGCCATCCCTATATAGGATCCGAACCCGTGGCCTTGGTGTTATCAGCACCGCACTCTACCAAGTGAGCCACGGGCCGGCCTTCTTATACCTTCTTAACCAGATAGAGTAATTATGATTTAACACACTGTGGGTCAGTCATCACTAACATATTACACTGCCACAGAACACTTATAGGGTCTTCTGAAATGACACACTATTTATGAATACACCAAGTGCATCTCACTTTTTAGCTCTTCTAACAAGTTCTATTTTTCGTTTTTGCCAGATTAATCACCAGTTCTTCTAAAATGTCTCCTTTCCATTCTATAGGGTAAGTAGCCAGCTCTCAAACTTTTCAAACTTTGTGTAAAGTAAAAGTAAATAGTCTCTGAGCAACACAGCCTAAATGGCTCTTCTTTGAGACAAATGTATTAATATTTTGGCAGCCCAAAAGTAGTCTGGCTTTTTCTTCTGCCCTAATTAAGGAAGGTTGCTGAACAACGGATAACCAGACAGGTGAATATACAACAATGAACACAAACTGTACAAAGTCCATTCCATCTTAACTTAATGTAATATATTAAATTCACTGCACCTTTATTCAGTGGACACTGCAAAAGCTATAATTATAGTACAATAGGTAAAGGTCTGTTAATCTTAATTACGGATAAATGGGCATTTATTTTAGCCTCTCTAGAACACTGGCATGCTCTCCCTCAAACTGAGATGGCATAAGGTAATACCAATTTATCTATGTTTTATATGACTGTATCTTGCTTAAAGCACAAAACCTACTGTCTATCCAAATTCTCTCTGCTGCCTTGAATACAAAGACTGATTTTCAAGTTGCTGTCACTCCCAGAGGTATACTTTCCAATGAAGCAGAGATAGAACTTCAGAGGCAGCCAAGTTAAGACTACCAAGACTTGTTCAAGCAGCAACAAAAAAGGCCCCTAATGCTGCACTGTAAGTTTAAAATTTGATCCTTAGTTGTAAGTAAACCAATAATCTCAATTAAAATGTAGGACTTCATCTACAGTATTTTATTAACAAAGTTTAATTTCTTGATCCTAGTGATGAGCTAAATATTCAGCACCCCAAAGGCAAGATAGTATTCAATTTTAAACACCTACTCAACAATAGAAGTCTCTCTGCTGTCACAGATATTAATATTATACCAAATTATAAAATTAAATAATAAGCATAAAGTTATACAACTGAGTACGGATGACTATCCAAATACTATGCAGTGTCACTCAGGAATTTAGACTGCTCTGTGTGACATTTTATCACCTTCAAGTACAAGCAAGTTTAGAGGCAGTACAGCCAAACTGCCTGGGTTTATATCCTAGTTCTGCCACTTACTAACTGTACAACTCTAAGTAAAAATATGAAATCCCAAGATTGTTCCCCCATCTGTAAAAAGAGCCAACCTCAGATACCTGCAGTAAGGATTAAGTGAGTTAAGACACTTAAAGGGCCTGAGAACACAATCTGATGCATCCTAAGTACTTGATAAAAGTAAGTTATTTTGAAGGTATAAAGTACAACCTAAACATAATAAAGCAACTTTTTCATTTACTCAATGGCTTTTTTTTTTAATTAAACTGCATAGGTGTTATAAACTTTTCAACATTAAAGTGAAAAGGCAAGGATATGTTTTATATAGATGAACTCTAAGATTATATTCAATGTTACAGACTTGAAATAACCCAGAAATTTTTTAATGTGCCATATAAAAAACATACAGACTACAAATAATCTCATCTTTCATATAAGAACCTTCAAATGTAGCTTCCAAAATCATCTAGATGGCTGTACTGCACATACATGCCAGTAATTTTAATAAAGAACAATTTAAAACATAAAAGGCAACACATGTTAAGCTGCGCTGGCTGGTGGAAAGTGTTCCAATCTAATAATTCTGTTTTTTCCCCATAATATGCATATTCCGGACTGTTGAGGTCACTGTTTAACACTCCAAAGCCAACAACAGTACTTTCTTTAATGATACTTCCCGTAACAAGTCTTTACCATGAAACACTTTATTCAAAGTAAAATGATAAACACAATTACACTTCCTCCCAACTTTGGAATAGGAACCAAAAAAAAGTAGTCTATAGGACTGACCGGTTAGCTCAGGTGATTACAGTGTGGTGTTATAACACCAAGGTCAAGGGATTGAATCCTCACACCGGCCAGCCACCACAAAAAAAAAAAAAAGAAAGAAAGAAAGAAAAAAGTATTCTATAGCTTTTAAACACTTCCTAACAACTCATGATCTTACATATATGGCTTCATAACAAGTTCTGACAGTTTAAAACATACAACAGAATGTCAATCTGATACATATTCCAGGTATGGAACATAAATGGCCAATCACTGTCACTGCTTAGAGTAACATTA